AGTAGCGACAGAGTACTGCAATTATACTTCATTTACTCTGTCAAAGATGTACATGGAAAAGCAAAAAATAGCTTTATGTAATAAAAAAAAGAATACACACCTGTATGATGATATGAGCAAACATGCAAAAGCATAGGTTTTGGGCTTTATGTAAGTGTTTAATCTAATCAAGATGTGTTTACAAAGCAAAACAAACAAACAAACAAAAAAACGGAATTTTAACAGATATAATTAAATATAAATATAATGAAGACAAAACAACACTTTGCTCTAATCTTTTATTATTATTAGGTAAACTAATAAATGTTTTTTGTCCACTTTATAAGTGTGTCAATGACTTTTCTATGATAAGACTAGGTTAATGTAGGTTGTAAAATGATATGTGGTGTGACTCTAACAATATTATAATATTTGTGAATCAATAATATTTTTTCAATAAAACCAGTTTACCTTCAAAAGTATATTTGAGATATTTTTGGTAAAAATGATTAAGATATGAAAATATGTATATATTTTTTTTTACTTAATGGTTACACCACATGACATTTTTTACAATGCCATATGAGTTATATACATATAATGTGTATAAATAAAATATTGTGGATATTATTTTTTATTATTATAGCATTTTTTTTTACCTTTATGAACCTGTTATGTTTTTCTGGGTTTTATATTCATTGTCAGGCTGCAGTGTAGTTTCAAGCAGCCTTGAAAATACCATAGTCTCAGTTATTGTTACTACAGTAAAATATAATAAATTAATAAGGGATCTTCAAGCACTGTAAGAAACTTTTAGTATCATTCTGCCATTTTATTTTGATCAAAATAGTGGCTAAACCAAGTTACCGCAGTTTTATTGTCATAACAGTGGTCCATTTTTAAGGGATAGTTTTTGTTTGCAACAATATTTTACATTTATGGCATCAAGAAACCACAGCGAGTGTGAAAACACACAGTGCCACAGTATTCCAGAAGCTTCTAGCTGGCATCTTCGTGCAGTGAGTGAGGACAGTGTTCCAGAAGTGTCTGTCCTGTGACCCTGCGGCTGCAGCAGCTCTTTGCATTGTGTCAGCTGGGGAAACCGGAGCTTGTGAAGGAGAATCCCAGCAGGAAGGAAAGCACAGCTGTTCTGCGGTGTTACAGGGAACACAGGGGGCTTATCCTCAGTACTTGATTGTGGGGTTTAAGTTCTGATGGTATTTAGTTTATTCTTTTTTTCTGTTTATGCTTATAATTCAGGGTGTGTATTGGGTCAAATTCCTAACACAAATGCAAATTTTCCTCACTTTTTGGACATCTTTGCTTCTTTGTAACGTGATGAGAAGGCAGCTCAACTGGCCAGAGGCTGCAAATTAGTTTGAAGTACAGAAGACGCTCTGATGAATGGCACCTTTAGGATTATTGTGTAGGAAAATGACCTCTGCACCTGGATGTGCTTATGATGACTTACTGAAGGAGGTCAGAGGTCGTGACCCCTCCTCCCACCACAACTGTAGATAACAGGCAATCCGTAAAGCAGTTCACTAGCTCAAATGCGGGATGTTAAATTGCTGCATATGGTTTACATTACAGACTACATTTTTTGGACATTTGTGCATAAACTATATTTCAAGGACATTTTTAAATATATTTCCTTTCATTTTATATATGTATACGCACGCACGCACGCACGCACGCACGCACACACACACGCACACGCACGCACACACGCACACACACACGCACACACAGAAAATTTTACTGGAAACTGAACTGAACTAAAACTGAAACTAAACTTAAAACCATTTAAAATAATTGTTACTTGAAATAAAATAAACTTTAACCAATATATAATAAAATATAAATTTTATTTTTTATTTTTACCTAGTTGCATTTCTAATTTTATTTAGTCTAACTTCAAATAACTAAAACTGAAATACAAATTAATAAAAACTTCATAGAAAAAACCTAGAAATTACTCAAAATTACAAAACAAAACAAAAATTACTTTAACTTCAACTGAAATGAAAATGAAAAATATAGAAATAAAAACCGGATTCCAATTATTCATGAAACTATAATAATATCTGAACAATACTAAAATAACACTATTTGGCGAGAAAATATATATATTTTTTTACAGTTATTACAGTTATAACAATATAGTTATAAATTAAACAGCAAGATTGTACAAAGCATCCATTCATAAACCAAAACTAAAGCAGTTTTCTGTGCTGGAACCTTGTTACAATTGTATTCTAATTCTGTCGCATATCAGCAGCATATAGTTGGTGACACTAAAATAGCAAAAGTGATAGTCTGGACTATTTCTTCCTTTCCTGACATGGATGTGGATGAGTCATGCAACCTCAGAGATGTTTGAGACATGCCTGTGCTAATCGAGACCTGTGACATCCCCATGACACATTACATATTACACAACGTGAAGAGACACCTGGACTCCACAAGCCCTCGGTCAGCTGGGATTGAGTGGGGATCCTCTTACACGTCCCAGGAATCTGTACCATAGACCCTTCCAGGAATGTCACCGGAGTGCTTGAAGGAATACTTATGAATCAATGACACACACAGAGAGAGAGAGAGAGAGAGAGAGAGAGAGAGAGAGAGAAGGAATGAGTGAACGGACTTCTGGAAAGGCCCTGCGAGTCGGTATGCACTGGTTCAGACCGGTTTCTCTTCCACAGTGCATACATGTAAATAGCAGCCTGGAAAGCCACCTGCATTACTCACCATTTTCTCTTAAGAGCTAAAGAGAGCGAGAGAGAGGGGAAGTGAGTGTGGGCCAGCTGACGCTTCCCAGACTCCATCAGTTTGTCTCTGTGTCACACACATGCTGTCAGATGCTGATACTGTATGCCAGTGTGCTGAGCTTGTGAGGAAGACTGATTTGATCCGATATAGCTCTGCTTTTCCTTTTTTGAAGAAAACTCGTTTTGCAGTGCTTTAAATGATGGGGACTTTTGTGCATTATTGGGACTAATGTCTCTTTTGGTACAAAGGTGTGCCTTTTGAAAAGGTACCGCCCCAGTGACAGCTTTTGTACCTTTTTTTCTGAGAGTGTACTTCCCCGATCAGACTCCATATCTGAGCACCAGACTCCAATTCATTCCTATGGGATTCCTCATGTTACTTATCTATTAGATGTTCCCATAGGACATTGATTTATAAAAGTGATGCCTAGAGAAGGTGTTTTTAAGACTGGGTTGAAAATATTGATCACTACATTTTAATCAATTCTTATTTTTATGAACTGATATCGATTCTTAAATACCAAGACCAGCTTGTAAACAATGTCACGTTTTACCTCAGAAAAGACATTTAATGGCATAAAATTGTTAAAAATGAACTCTAAAACTGAGCATTGTGCTAAATATATGCACTATATCACATATTTGTTATATTTGAAAGCCCGAGTGTTTTTGTAACATATACCGCTGAACACGCGAGTTTAATTTTCCAGCATTCTTAAATTTCTTTTCTGTTATTTATCAACAAGGGCTGGACTCGTGACTCAGATTTTCTACAAAAGCATACTGACGTATGTTGTTTTCCATTTTAAACAAATGTAATTGGACAACTGATTACAAACCCATTTGAAAGAATAAATCCCAAAAATCTGTTTTTGTGTTTTCTAGCTCACATTAGGATTTTTGCCATTGGAGTCACAAGAGAAACTGATTAAGCATTTTATTATATTAGTAATAATATTCGAGTTAGAATTTGTAAAAAGAAGAGAAAGGAGCAAGTGGCACGCCAACTGTTTCTGAAAGCAAGATGCGTCTGTATCTCTGAACTGCCCTCCTCATGACCTTTTATTGAGGTTTTTAGTAAACAGGTCTTACATTAAACCTCTAGCGCCCTCTTGTGATTCATCAGTTGTAGTAACTGCACACTGCAAATAAGCTGGATGGCACACACACACACACTCACACACACAGGGGCGGACTTACCCATTAGGCAAAGGTAGGCGCCCGCCTTGGGCCCCCAAAAGCCAAGGGCCCCCTAAAATGCTTTTCATATAGGATATGCGTATTAAGCGCGGACACGCGAACGTTTGCAGTTTACGGTGTTTGTTACCACGACAACCGTCCGAGTCTGTGGCGCCTGCAGGTGAACGGCTGTACTGTGAGTACCATGAGCGCTCAGACTGATCTCAGATTTGCC